AAATCTCGAAAGGTTTTTTTTTCGAACAGCACAACATGAACGCTGCGGTGGAGTCCCACCGTACAATACAGCAATGAATAGAGATCGGTGAATCGCGACCTGCTGTAAAGTTAAGTTGAAGCCATCTTCATAGAATGGTATCTCGAGGCTACTTCCACAAAAAGCATCTTAAATGGACTTGCACGCCGAAGAATCCTTCTTCACACCCCTTTCTAGCGGTTCCTATCCATGGACTGCCCCAAGACGCGTGAAAAGTAAGTATAATAAGACCCTCACAATAAAACGCTCACGTGCACCGTGGCACTGCTAATTGAGAGTTCTGTCGCAAACTATCCCAGCTGCGAGCAGTGGTACATCTGCCAAATAAGGTTTCGTATGGCCGTATCTCGGGATTTCCAAGCAATTTTTAATATCCGAAATCAGGGCCAAGGGCACGCTCGCGCAAAGGTGGACGCTGCCTTGGAGGCACTGTTCAAGCAAGATTGGGATATGTGGGCTCCAGACGAGGGCCTTCTTCATGCCCTCGGACGCACTCTCGCACCCGTAGAAATCATCATTGAGCCAAACGCGAAGAATCGGCTTAGGAAGTTGAAAGACTTACGCCCAGAGGAAAACCTCGCCCATCTGCGGATTTTTTTTTGACATATTTGCTGCTCTGAGGCAAAGTTCGCATGCTGCCACATTACAGTAGTGAGGCCCCTAAGCGACCGCGTCTCAGCCATAGGAGAAACTGTTTCACTCGCCCTTCAAAACCCAAGGTTTTAACGGTAAGACATGTTCTCGTCGTTTTCGGGTCCCTAGAGATGATTATAGAATTCAACGAGCTATATGGTCCGGTAAACCAGAAACCTATATATTGAGTTTGTGACGTACACTGCCTTTGAGAAGGGCAACAGATTCTGCTAAAGGAGAAATAAACAGTATGGACATACTTGTGGGACACCATGTATAATCATTTTCAACTTCGGCTATCGGGCAACCCAAATACTTTTAAAAGCACGAAAATTCGTATGTTAGGAATATTCTTTGTATGTTGGGTTACAGAGAAGTTTTCTAACTCTTATCATAACCCACGATTTGAAGCTCAAATATGCTTCGTAGTCGACGAGCGCTTATATGGTTAGAAGTTGTCGCAGGAGAACGCCCACAACTCACGCAAAAGTGAACGAAGCTGGAGATATGCATAGTTAGAAACACTTTCGCAACTCTAACTACTTTCTGACATATTCACTTGCATTCAACAGTATGACAGCCTAAGAATTCGAGCACATGCCAAACGGCGATGCGTAACCGGGAATGTCAACAATTCCATTAACAAAATCTTTCAAATGTAACGATGGTCTACAACCAAACGAAAATGAACAACACGTGACTAAATCCCGAAACCAAGCCGGACGCTGGTGACTGCGGTAGCTGAACAACTTGCAGAGTCACGCTTGAGTGTTAACAGAGCGCTCCCCACAACGTGCGAGTACACATCTAAGAAAAGTGAAAGATGGAATGTGAGAACGGCGTGGGGAAGCTAACAATTCAACAACAATTGAATTTCCTCCGAGAATCTTCAGAACATTTGATCAGAACGACAAAGTAAATAAAGGCGGCAAGCCTGGAAGTGTATAATCTGCATAGAACTGTGAACTACAAACTGTAGATGAAACATCCAACACGGTTATGGACTACAACGATGTGAAAATGCGAAACTTGAGCGAATGTCAAAGTTAGGTCGCCAACCTGTTTACAATCGTGCTAATCGAAACATTATAACTATGCACAACTAAAAAAACATCCTAATTACTAATCCCTTGTGAAACATTATTGCATCTAGAATATGTACAGATTACAAAGTGGTTTCGAACTACAAAAACTCATATCGGACCTTATAGCAACATCAAAGATATGATATACCGTCGAGAAAAGGCGTGATCCAACAGCACCAGTAACAAACAGATTTTGGGAGAAAGATTCCATGCAATTCATTCCCACTCCGTGGTTCCGGGAGGCTTACTGGTTAGGTCAATCATAACCCTCGATGTGCTCTTCACATGGGTTACGATTCGGTGAACCATTTCATAAACACTCTGCAAAATGGATGTTAGCGGGGATTTTGCGCAGTTACTTACTTGCCTTGTGGATACTAAACCTAACATAATCATGAATTATTGTAACTATTAAACTTTATAGTTCTCATCAACCATACCTTCTCAGGGATATCTCTTCCTGGTAAAGCTGCAAGTCCCGTCATAAAATCGGAAGTGATAAATGGTCGTAAGACAAAGGAACGTTTATAAGAATTGACTTCGTTGGGGAGGCGATCAAAATGAATGGGGATCATCACAACAGGCATCTAAAAATAAGGTTTCATATCAGGTATATTCTAATATGGATCTGAGCTTACCTGCTGCACTTTCTTCGTTAGATCTTCCAAATCTGGATCTCGAGTGCCATTTATTTTCCTACCATGCAATACCTCAGTTGCGAGGTGGTCAGCCTGGAAAACAGATCCGTCTAAATTACAGCATAGTGTACCTACTGCAAATCCAAATATACTATTACAAAAATTCCCACCTCTTGCAAGGTTCTCACGGTAAAGGCATTCAAGTAAGTCGGTGTAATTGTTGTTATGGGATACAGCACAGGATCACCGAACACGTAAACGACTCTAGAATCAAAAATATTTTCGAAGGAAGCGATGGAAGTCGTGAAATATACAGAAGAAAAAAA